AACTAAGAAGACTTCATTCAAAAATTTGAACTTTGGAGATTCGTGGCCAGCTTTCAGACGCCTCTTGCCCGCCTGTTGTGACACGACCTATAGGTTACGTGTGGTTTTTTTACGACCCAGCGATGGCCCACTGCACAGTCTTACTGTATGTACACTGAGAAACACATTTTAGAACTTATACTGATAGTACTCACCTGAGTACCTTCGATGGTTTCCATTTTGCCGCTTTGAGGAATTGGTCTTTCCCGAGAACTGTGCATGGTCTCCACTTCGGTTTCAGGAGTGGATTTGGTCTTGACCGAGATAGTTTAGTACTGGAAGTTGTCTAGCTACCCGTGTAACGCAAACAGTCGGTCTGCGGTGAGATTCGAACCAGCAGTCATTCGGTCAGAAAGGATGGTAAACTTCTCACTTTTTTCCTTATAGTTCTCGCAGCTGACGTGTTTTGACGACAGATGTCAGCACAGAAGGAAACTAAAGGCGTAGGTGGCGCTGTGTTAAGAGTAGAGCAGTTTGAATTGCTGCGATACCATTTTCGCTTAGGAAAATAGCAATTATTGATAAAAATGAAACATGTATTTTTCAGTAGAAGAAATAATTTTTAATGAGAAAGAGCCTTACTATATGACACGATGTTTATCGATTTTAACAGTTCAAAACACTTTAAATGGATATTCCTAAGGAGCATCTCTATAATGCCTCAGTGCTTCCGGTCCTTCCTTTCTCGAAAGCACTGCGACGGCTGCCGGCAGCGTGGTTGTACCTTTGGCGAGTTGGTGTCTGGCGCACAGCGCGAACGTCTCATGGTGAGTTTGTTTTCTGTATGTCTTTGTGTGCACTTAACAGCTTGAAAGTAACCACAGCAAAGGTAATTACCTACTCTGGGAGGTGGCAAAATCTGTGTGCCATTGCCCATTTTTGGGATATAGGTTGCGATTGCCATCTGTTTGCCAGTGTTAGCAAAATCTGCTTAAATACCAATTCGTGTGCTTTGAGGATATGGCTCAGAAATTAAGCGTTTCTGCCGTTTCTCTAATATTTGTCTTACTCTCCCTTTCAGAGCAAGAAGCCGTAGAGACGATGCTCTCAATGTTGGACACCGAAGTGAGGCAACTCATCGGGCACAACGCCAAAATGTCCGTGTTGTGTCCTGCTCCTGGGTCACGCGTGTCGCGCCTTGACAGCCGTGACCTTGAACGACCTTGACCGGCCGGGCCGGGCCGAGCGGCCGAGGGTCAGTATCGTCCGAGCGGCGCTGGTGTCAACACAGCTGAGTGCCGCGAGGTGAGGTGAGGCGTGTTCGCCGAGACGGTCCGGCCACAGTGAAATAGTGAAATAGTGGTGTAATCGATAATATGCGTGGCCAGTACGCGAGTGAGATTGACCCTGTGCGCGACACCGATTCAGAGACGCACATAAGTTAACACCGTCGTGTCGGATCGCTCGTATCGGTGCAGTGATGGGAGACAACGAGCAGCTGGAGCGTCTGATGGCGCTCATGGTTCAGCAGTCAGCAGGCTGCCATGCTGGAGTAGCTCCTCCCCAGCCAGATGCAGCTACCAGCTGCGCAAACTGTCTAGAGCGGCCAACCGGCTGTCGTCGCCTCCGCCGCTCCTATGGCTAGACTTCGGTCTCGCATGGACTCCCGTCGGTAGTGTTCACATGCCAGCCCATACATTTTACCTGTATTAACTTTTTAATGTCTGTGCCTGTGTAACTATTGTACGTGCCTGTACTTAACAGTGTTTGAATTGTACATCGTTCGCACAGTCTGTGGACCGTGGGGAGCGCCGCTTGACATGCATTTTTGCACTTACCTGCATTCCGTGTTAAAGGGACCCTCCCACCTTAACATTAGTTTTGAGTTGAGATAGCCAAATTGGTGGCCATGACCTGCAAATACCGGTTTGGACACTCACAACATCGAAAAATGCTTTAATTCGAAGATATGGAATTTCAAACTTGCAGTTTTCGGATTCTAAGGGGCTAATGCATTGGAATGCCCCCTTAGAATTTGTGACGTCAGCGGAGATCTAACGATTTTTAAATCTTAGACTAAAACCATCGTTTACACGTGGTGGTATACGCTGCTTTGCGCGCAACGTCTGCCGCACTTAAGGGCTGCCAAATTATTGCTTCCAAATAAAGTCGCTAGTAACAGGGGAGATCCCAAAAAGTAAACAAAAGTAAAAGCCTAATATCTTGAAAACCAGTGAATATTTTTCGGTGAAATTTGGTAGATATTCGTTTTCGCTCTTTCTGAACCAAGGGACATCACTTTCATGCCAATTCATTAACTTTTTTGAAGGTGGGAGGGTCCCTTTAAAAGTAAAGTAAAGGGACTGAGCTGTCGTGCACCGGGAGATATTATGGTCTCTTGCTAAACGACTCGGTTGAAACTCAGCACGCCGGTCGGTACTGACTGGGGCGGCAAGCGAAAGGGTTTGGGCAGCTTTTGAAACAAAATGTTCGCATCGAATGACTGCATCGCATGTTCTGTTCCAGAGTGAGTTTTTTGACATCTGACACAATAAATATACATGCCTGTTCTTTACCTTGTTTGTGCATGGAGGGAATGGGAAGGATCGAGAACGCGGATGCTGTGCCATGAAAAGCTGGCGCTCTACAGGGAGGGGAGGGGGGGGGGGGAATGGGTCGTGAGCGCGAATGCCGTGCCAGGAAAGCCGGCGCTCTTAAGTTGTAAAGTTCTCGGAGACCATACAGGATCATATTATGAGCGGGAATTGTGTTCGTTTATGATCTCATGACCTGGTAAAGGTTCTCATGGGAGATCATCCCGCAGTATAAGAGTACCTTATCCGGGCAAAGTTCTCGTTCAAGATAGCACACCATTCTCACTCGAGAACGTTACGGGAAAAACCTGAGAACTTTACCAAACTGGAGACCAACAACTGTAAACAAAGTTCTCCCCAATTGAGGCTCTCATACAAGACCAGAACGACCCCTGCATAGTCTCCGAGAACCATGGATAGGCTTGAGTGTTTCTCAGTGTAGGTGCACCATGCTTCGTTACACCAATATGCAAGAATATACGCACAAAACTGTTGAGATATTACAAAAATCACGCGAAATATAACGAAGCATGGTGCACCTACAGTAATTTCGCGTGATTTTTGTAATATCTCAACAGTTTTGTGCGTATATTCTTGCATATTTCTGTGTAGGCTGATGTACGTTTTTAATCGGGAACGTTTTTAATAACCGCATCTCTAACTGGGTTTCAGGGACTATTCTATAATATCATTAGAGCCAGGGACAACTTACTCAGTGGTCAAATGAGCCTGTCAGGCTGCTTAGCTATATATTTTCGTCGGTGGTACGTGGCTTGGGCTGCCTTATCAAATTTTCTTTCGGTGATGTGTGACTCTGCAATCTGGCGGCCCTTCGCAGTTTGTGGCAGAGTGACTTGGGTAGAAAGTCATCATGAAACATTTACTATGGTAATCGTGTTTATCAAAGAGGTTTCATTGAATTTAGCATGAGACAATAAACAAAGAACCAAAGAGAAAAGTGGAACGAGTGAAACTTTGGCTTATATTCTGCAACTTGCTGCTCCCCTTTGTTGACCGTCAAGTTGCTGATTAACCTCATCACATTTGAAGCTGCAGCTTAAACATCCCGGTAAAAAATCCCCCATTCTTTGTAGGTACCCTCAGGCTAGACGAGCGAACAACAGTGAATATGTTTCCGCACATACAGCGCTAGAAACAATTCCACGCAGCTCCTACAATGCAATAATAAACTTCCTCTTTCACCTGCGGCTGACGCACAAACAAGCCTGGAGAGCAGCAGTGAGCGTCAACAATAGCTCTGACGCGGCGGGTCGGACGCAGGGACAGGGACGGACGGCCCGCGCGTCTCGACACGGCGTATAGCGTGCGTCGTTCCGGCCGGCCGGTGGCCCGTGGTCGGCTGTTCTGGTGCCGGCTGGACGGGACGGGGTCAGTGAAACACCCCTCGGGGCGCCGGGCCGCGACCGATGGAGGAAGCGGAGGCGCTCCAGATGTCCGCTGAGGCTGACCCTGACGGCCGCCGAGGTGTCCGGGGCACCACTCGGCCGCGGCTGCGACCGGCAGACGCACCGCAGTCGCGCGAACGGCGGAGTGGCTCGAACGGTGTGTAGTGATAGTGAGCGAGCCCCCGAGGCACAGGAGTGTAATTCTAGAAGCTGCATCCATTGCCAAACTGTTTCATCAGGTATTGTGGAAAGGGCTGTTTGACGCACTTGATCTGAGACGAGTACGTCAACTGTGTACGTCAACTTTGACGTACTACCAGTGCTACTTGGTCTGTCATCCACTCAATGCTGGTGCCTCGTCTCAGCTGTGTTCGGCAAACCACCGTCTGCCTTATTACCACTAATCAAGAGCTGGCGCGCCTCAAGTTACCGATAACCACTGCGCGCCAATAAATACTGCCACGTGCTGGGAATCCGATGAGACGAACGGCCTATAATACCTGACGCTGAGCTAAGAAAGGTGACCAACCAGATCAATCGTCCAGTGCACTGACACAGCCTGAGGCCTGAGGTGCTACGACAGAAAGATGCCGAGCTTATGTATGGACGCAACAACAGGAAGCTGAAAAAGTGCGGTAGAGGCTAGACAACTTTTCCGGGGGATATTTGTTGCATCGTGAAGTGTGATAAGATGCGGGCGACTTGAGACGAAGAGCAAACACTGCCCAAGTGGGAATCCGGTGACATCATAGCCAAGTAAACAAAACAAACGTTGATGCAGGGCGCATCTTCTTGAGCCGTGACAGCAGCCAACAGGCTGAACGAAATAGTCGATCGAGGCGGATCACTGAAGTGCGGCTCGGCGTGGCTTTAGTAGCTGCGCGCATTGATCTGTAGAGCCTTTTAGACGTTCAAAACTTCATTTGGAGGAGCCCGGCCAGGCAAGAAGCGCTATTGCCTCTGTCAAAACCACGCATTGCAGGTTATCAGAAACGACGCAGAAAAACAGCTAAAATCGCCTGCAGGCTTCTGATATCAAGCCCTGAGCTCGCCGCAAAAAAAGGTGATTTCGTCAACTCCCCACAAATACTTAGAGAAATTGAAACTTACCAGTGAAAACTATCTACAGAGCTGTGATAGTCGTTACCTACGGGCCGAAACTCGGTAAACGTTTTATCAGCTTTACCGACTGTCGGGTGACGTCTAAAACTGAGAGTGTTTGAAGTTTCCGTCTTGAAGGGATACGACGTTATTGGGTATTGCGTAAGCTGATCGGTCAGGCTGGACACTGATCTTCTGTTGAGACGAGACGTCAGCACCAGCATCGCACGGCCTTGAGGACTTCGGAGAATCATCGAATAAACGGTGAGCAACAGCTATTGATTGCATTATCACAGACATGCGTTCACATTCTGAAGCATCATTGAAGGCGTTATTGCGCAGCAGGAGACGTCTTATACATATCCATTATTCAATCATTGCCTCTCTAGATGTCGATTATAAAGCAACATCTAGAGAGCGCCTATAGCGCTCATAACACTTATAACGCTTAATGATTACTTACCGTCCAATCGCTATTAGTCGTTGTGGTTAAAACCGTACGATGAACTGATTTAGGTGAAACACTTTTAGCCATATGACCGTTCCCATAGGAAGGTAAGGTAGCTTTGCATTTTCATGGCCATTTGGAGAAGCGGCTTGTATCAAACGAAACCTAGCATCAACGATTATAATCCACTTAATTTTATTCCTCAATATAGGTCTGTCGTGAACAAATTATTGCATATTTATGCCTACTGAAACATCCTACTACACCGTCCAAATTATTTACGGAATAAATTAATTTGGTAGGCATGCGAAATACTTTCGCGGCAAGAGCCATGCCATTATTTCGTATGGTCATGCTTCCGGCTGAAATACAACGCATGTAAAGATGGGACAATCGCTGTCGTTTGGGCTAGTATAATTTGACGGCTGGGCGCGCGTCACCGCCCGAGGCGTTTCACGGACGACTGGTCACGTGATGGCCGGTCACGTGACCGCCCGGGGCTATCGGGCGTCACAGCTGGGCGTCCAGCAGGGTCGCCGTGGCGCCGGGCCGACGCCGGGTCAGCGTGAACCATGACACCGGCGGGGACGGCGACTTTCGCTGGCTTCGTTTTAGGCCGGGGCGGCGCTTCGCCGTCTATTGTTGGCCGTACGGACAATGGAAACATAAATCACTTGGACGTCTCAGTGTAGGGTGAAAAAAATTATTTCTATAAAAATCAGCATCCACGAGAAAGCTATGCAAAGTGCGCAAAGTGGGATTTGGTGTCTTCCGGCACTTGAGCTGGAAGTGTGACGGCAGAACATTACTGAGTCGTAAAATGTAGGCTCAGCAAGAAAGGGCTGTGAAACAGGTGTGCCCAGAATAGATGATAATAGCAAATAGCTGAAGCAAACAAATCATTCATTTATCTTTTTTTGCATTCAGCACTGAGTGCATTATGGGCACCTGCCACATGAAACGCTATAACAGAAGCTCGTAACAGCGTGTGACATAATAAAATTACGCAACATAGGGTTGTCGTGAGACGCTTCTTGTCGAAATGCGTGTTATACCGACCCTGTCGCCATTCCATTCATAGCTTGTCAATGCTGAGTCGAAAACAGGACATAAATGAAAACTAAACAAGTGATTTTTTCATCCGTAGCCTGAGAATGTAAGCGTCTCGTCTGTGATCGTTCGTGTATGGAAACAGGAGTCATCCACTTATTAAAAGCTTACATACACTGATGTCATTTAAATCAAGAAGTGAAACTAAAAAGGTAACCAAAGTGCGCCTCTTCGTCACTGAACGACATCTTTGGAACTTCCTGTACCAAACCACTGACCTCTGTATCTCGCCACTCCCTCAGGGTCGGCCGGCGTCGGACGGCGGCCTGATGCCATGAGAAGCTGCGATGACGGCGAGGAAGGTGCACCTCTACTGGGCGGCAGTTCTGATATGTTCTGCACAGCTCCGAGCAGCCCCTGCCCCGGGAGGGAGGCCGACGACCGAGCCAGCTGATCTAGCATCAGCTCGCGCCTACTTCAGTGATGGCTCGTCGCTCTGGGTCGGAAGGAGGCACATGGCCAGATCGTGGCGGGACAGGACACCGGCGGGGTATAGGGACCGAGTGAGACAGCCGCCGAGACTGACACAGACACAGCCACCGGGACCTGCGCAGACACAGCCGTCAGTGCTGACACAAACACAGCCTTGGGAACTGACACAGACACAGAGGCTGGAGCTGACACAGCCTCCAAAACCGACACAGACACAGCCTCCCGAACTGACACACCGGACGTCGTTAGTGTCACAAGAAGGCGAGGATCGTTCAGTGGCCGACGAACACTCGGTTGTGGATGATACGACTGAGAGTGAAATAAAAGCAAAGGCAAAAGCAATTGTGAGCGGTGTTCGAGTGGATGAAAATGAATGGCGAGCCGGTTACGGTGCGATGAAAACATACCATCATAATAAAGAACATACTACGACGGAGCCTCAGCGACCGTCTGAGAGGGTCACTTATCGTCCCCCGCCGAAACTGTCTTATATACAGCGACGGAGGCCGTTCGGGGCTGCGGCCACGATTGGGGGATTCGGGACAAGCACTGCTCGACTTACCCCAAAACCCAGTCAACCGACACTATCAGCTATTGGAAGTGCGGCAACAATCGCGTCCCGACCCTTCACACTCGCATCTGAGCCAACAGTGGTGACAGATAAACGGCTATTTCCTCCCATGCAACATTCAATACATGATGCTGGAAACAGACACCCGGCAATTGAAGTGAGGCCGCCGCAGCACAGTGATTCGACGGACGCACAGCGACCACCAGGAGGGTCTCGAGATCACCTACCAGTGGTAAATGCTGCGGGACTGGTTCCGGGTAGTGTGATCAACACAAAACTCAGCGGGGGTCTCACCGTACCGGAGAGCGGCCACCAGACCACGCACCAGCGCAGGACCACAGCTAGTCCGGACAAGATAACCGAGAATACGCCACCAAAGGGAGCAAGCACGTTCACAACTAGCATCATTCGAAGAAGGAAGCCCTATACGAGACGTCCGGAGACACCAACAACTTCTACTCCATCCGTTGAAGTTCTGAACTTATACGAGGTCGGCGTGCTTCCCAACGTCAGCAAATTCCTGAACCAGTCTCGGAAGAGCGGTGGTCTGTCCCAGGGAAGCCGTGGGCAGGCAGGGCACTGGCACAGCGGTAGCAGTGGAGGCACCAACAAGGTGACGTTTCCGCTTTACGTCCTGCCAGCCCTACCGGGTGCTCCACCGCCCCCAGACTGGCCCACTGTGCGACCCAGTACCGGTTGGTCCTGCTGCAAAGGTCACCCGGGACACGTCACCCCCGTGGACCCTCCTGACCGGCCTGTGTACCCCAGCGTGGGGTCAGGTCACCGACCGATCCCACCGCCACTGCAGCCGCCTACAATACCCACCAGACGTCCGCTGGTCCCACCATCCACCTCTTACGGCCCACCGCCTCTCCCTCCAGTCCCATCGCGACCCACCCCACCAACAAGGCGTCCGTGCGGCTCCGGACAGTGCGTGTACCGCCCCCCGCGGCCCCCGGCTGGAACCATATCTCCTCCGGCGCCACCGCCGACCGCTTCGAGTACCTCCCTCGGCAACGTGGGCGATGACCTGGTCTGTGTGTACCTCCGTGCCAATGGTTCGGCGCTGGTGCTGCGTGCAGACCTCGCCACGGGTCGGTACAACATCAGTGATGAACACAACCATCCGCTCGGTGCGGCCGGGTGGTTGGGGTCTGACCAGACGCAGCTGCTCGACCGGCCGGCATCCAGGAGTAAATATGAGATTGTCTACATTGATAATCTAGGCACTACTGTAAAACAGCTGATGACGCGTCTACGTAACAGGTCACAGCGCTGGGAGGAGACACATCGACCGAAAACCAGCATTGTCTGCATCGTACAGCGTCCGGAATCAAAACCAGACGAAGGGTTCAATTCAACAGTACCACCGAAACCCTCTGAGGAGCCCACAACGCCTAACATCAGCTCCACGGCCTCCACACCAACCACAGCTACCGCCACCGCATCCACCCCAACTCCTCGTCCCACCATCCTTGGATCGGTGGACACACTCTCAGCCACCATCGCTTCAGCTGTGGACACCTTGGGTGCCACGGCTGAGGCACAACTGTCCAACACCATGACGGCTGCTGACCAGACAGCCGTCGTCATCGGCTCCAACGTCAAAAACTACATCGGCAACAGCATCCCCAACATCGCACTGGCCACCACAGTTGGCATTCCTGTCTTTGTGGCGATGCTAGCACTGCTGGGCGCGCCTCCTCTCCTGCTATCAGCTCTGTCGGTATCGTCCCCGATCTTACTTCAAAGTGTAGCTGCCCTCTATAACAGCCTACCCAACTGAACGAGCGACGGTCTCTTGGGTCCCAAGAGGGGGAAGCTGAGCTGGTGGGCGTGGTAGACGTCCAGCAAATGCACGTTTGTTTAAACAGGGTTAAATCACGAGCTGTGGACATTTCTTAAGGACGGGGGAGCTTGGCGTCCTGAGTGAGTCGAGTATGTAGAGTAGGTATAAATAGTTGAGATATTGTTGCGGGGCGTCTTGAGGGCCAGACGACGATATTTGCTTTCTTGTGATCGGTGCTGAAGTAACAGTGACGTGTGAAATACAGTGATGGAGGCATTCCAGAAATGCATATTGTTCATGTGTAAAATGGGTAGCATGGGTAGCGATGATGCAAACAGACTACATATACATGTATGTATGTATGTACATGTATGTATGTATGTACATGTATGTATGTATGTACATGTATGTATGTATGTACATGTATGTATGTGTACTGCGAGCATCGCGCAGTTCGTATTGGAGTGTGTGACGACGCAAGCGACGATTTTTTTTGTATTTTTGTATTTTAGCTGACAATTTACCTTTAACAAGTTCGTGAATTCATTTGCGGCACTTGTGTAATGAAACGTGGATAGCCACTGCTGCCTGTTTCGCACTGCGAAATATATAACACACATGTGAATAAATGTATTGTTTCTGTTTGTTTATTTTTTTTTTATAAAAGAAAACATTGCGCCATACGCAGAGAAAAGCAGTTACTGAAGTTCAAAAGAAGCCTGCCACAGACTGGTGGTTCTGTTACACATCATTGATGATGCCTTAGTGGCAGTGCCGTTTAGAAAGGCATCTCGAGCTCGACACTCCCCTACACTCAATACTGACGAGAGGGGACACCGATCACACTGAGAGAACGTGGCAAGGTCATCGCATGGGCAGCCGAGGGCATCAGCCTCGTTCACTAGAGCTTGACTATTCAGCAGAGAAAAAAGTATAATCGCGCACGGTCCAAAAATGATCGAATGGCAGCCAGAGTACAGAGAAGGTCAATAAAAATATCATGAAAAACCCTAATTTAGCTTACCCAACTCATTGTAAACACATTATAACTTTATGCACACAGCTTCAAAACATGATGAAAGTATGAACCAGTTTGGGTTTTGCGCCCAGGAAACTTATGCGAACGAAATGCCCAAGACACCGAAAGTCCGGTAGAAAATTGGTCCTGAGAGGCAACGAAAACACGTCCTATCACGCTGTTTAAAAAAAATGCTATTTTAAAATCGCCCCAAAATGAGGATGTCAATGGCGCAAACTAAGATCGAAACCTTTAATGGGAAAACATCTTGATGTGAATGTGAATGGCCAGCTTGACTTTCAGCTAGCTGGCACGGAGCTTGGACAAACAACGCTATGCAGAAAGGTAATATAAAACGGAAAGGCACGATAACACGAAACGCATGCAAAACACGTCTACAGCGTGACAATCGCGAACACTTTCATGAGCAGACATTGCAGCTCTCAGTCAAAGCACGTCATCAAATAAGACAACTCAAAGGCTGTTTGCACAAATGTACAAATGTACAAATGTACGCTTCTTGATCTCACGTGCAATTGCGTACGTCATAAGCCACACACACACAACACATTGCGTACATTCACACCAAGCCGAGTCCTGTGCTTAGCAAGTAGTTCACAAACACACAGACAGTGCCCGATCTTAGGCACCCAGCTCGGAGCACCGCGCATCAGCACCGCGATCCTCAGGCTGACTGACCCCAGGAGAAATCCGGGGTTGCACCATTGACATTAGCAGCTACCAAGCTCAAGCACACTTTGCCAAGGCCCCGTTACAAGGTCCGTTCGAGGATGCAGATCAGATCGGACTTCAGGTTCATCGACATTCTGGTGTGCACTTCAGGATAGTTTCCAGACGAGCTCAATAGCGACACCTGTAGTCCACTCGGATGTACTGAAGCTTCACAGTACCGTCACTACTGTCGCTACTGCCGCGGTACCAGACCATACATCTGGCTCCAGACGCCACTTTTTCGAACAGGCAAGAATCCGTCCCGTTGACGTTGGCTGTTTCGTGGCTTTTTTTCTCACCATGCAGTGTAGTGATAGCGTCAGGCGTTGGCCAACTATCAATCGCGTGCTGCAGAGGGCGGTGGTCGGAGCAGCGCTGCTTGAAAATCTCGTCGCATTGGTGAGCCGATGGAGCCGGCAAAAATCAGACAACCTGAAAAGACCACTTAGTTCAAACATCCATCCTATTTACTTTCATACCTACCCCTCTTCACAGCAAGGACCTTATGACAGATAACACCTCTTTAGCGATATCTATAGTCTAGTCGGGCGCAGGCTAGAGCAATAACCACATCACCGGTAGGTAAATAAATGACCCAACATCATAATAGCCCGCAGCTGAATACACATTGCATCAGGCGAACAATTACAGGAAAAGGCGTAGTAGACCGTGGGCATCATGACGGAGCACATGTCAATAAACACTGCGACGGAGGTGAAGCGTGGGCCCCACAATGACGTTATTGTCTGTATTGGCGGTGCCACAGCAGTCGGAGGATGAGCAAAGAGGGCGTTAGCTGGCTCGTGGGTAGAGGCAGACAGAACATGACACACAAGGCCCCTTAGCAGGGGGGGGGGGGGCGAAAGGGATGACACGAAAAGACCCAAGCACGAAGCCAGCATTTCGACCAAATGCTGGGAAGACGAGAAAAAAGAAAGAAAAGCACTACACTACATAAAAACCAAACGACAATTAATACACAAAACATCGCAAATAGTGCACCTTGCCACAGAAATTTCCCTAGTAAACTCACAGCCCACCCACTCACCCCTCAAAGCAGCGCGACGACAGCGGCCAGCAGGGCACTCAGCAGACCGACCCCCGCCGGTCGCAGCAGAGACGAGGGCGCAGAGTTACCGCTCGGCTTCTCTGAGACCAGGGCCTCTGTGAAGAGATGATCAGATAGCGGTCAGACTTCTGTGAAAGCTGGCGTGTGTAAGATCCCGGGTAATGATGTCATTATAAATGAAAATAAATGTCTTTTTGAAGAACGCCTTACCGGTGGAAATAATCGTTCAACATGCTGACGAATAATGTATATAGACTGAAGACGTATTGTACATTCAAATGTAATCGATCTTAGCTGCTGAATGGTGATTGCTCATCAAGAGCAAGTGCTGATCGATTGTAACGGAAATATCGTTCAATGATCGCAGCAAGATAATCAGCGCGGGTAGCAGCGTGGCTTTGCGTTTGGTACGAATGCTACGGATGTGAGTACTACTCATTCTCAAGGTCTATACCTAGGCCTACAGCTAGCATAAAACCCATTCGTTACTACACCACACGTTTAGTAACGAATGGGTTTTAACGAATGGTGTTAGCTGAAAGTTAAGGTAAAAACAGTACCCAGTTACGAGTATATCCCGTCTGACATAACAATCAAACCTGAATATGGATTATGGATTTTGTTAGTTGGAGCACACACCATCGAAAACACCAGCTGTAAAGTACAAAAGGGTTAGTAAAGCGTACGACCACGGTGATGCTGTTCAAGTAAGCCCTGCTATCTGGTGACATGACGCATAACTTGTTAGTTCCTCTACCAAACAGCATTCTGGAGCGCTATCAGCGTGTTAGTCACTTCCCGCTGCCATCGTATCAAAAGCCACCGCCATCCGCTCAGCAGACCGCCCCGGTTAGTTGCACCCATAGGTCAGAGGTCACGTGACCTACCTCCGCCCCGGACACCGCCGGCGCTCCCGCCTGAAACGTCAGTCACGTGACTCAATGACCAACTCAGCTGACATGTGACGCCGCCACAATGACTGGCGCTGACTTATAATTGACATGGCACCTTCAGATATCAATGACACGGAAAATAGAGATATTACTGGCAGGTCGTTGATATTTTCCATCGAGAAACATGAGTGTTACATATCGTAAAAAAACGAAGCAGCCTATTGATCGACACCGCTCTCTCATGTCCTTTCAATTTACATCGTAACCTCCACTGTCCTGTCCCTCATCCTCTCCTTTCTGTCCAGCCCCATATCCCAAGCGACTTCACCTCATTTTCCCATCGCCAGCCCCATGTCCCACCAAAAAAGACCAACCCAACACTCCCACTCCCTTCCACTCACTGGCGCCAAGCGTGGAGAAGCGGAACGTATCGCTGGCCTCACTCCAGCCGTACTGATTCCTCGCCGTTACAATCGCCTGGTACACCGCCGCCGACTCCAGGCTCTTCAGCATGGCCTTCTGGCTGTAGACGATGCTGTCTTCTGCCCGTCCCGGCGCGGCCACGTACGCCACCTCGAGCTCGTTCCAGTCCTGATCCGGCTCGCCGGCCTCCTGACGGACATGGAAGGTGGCGGTAAGGTGGTGAGGGAACAAAGTCCATAACACAAAAGTGGACGTTAGTAGGCAAACGTAGTGCGTAGGTGGTAAATCGTTCATAAATTTACTTGAACTAATACAAATATTCTTTATATCAGTTGAGTCGTATAATTTCGCATCAATCTGATTATCGAAGAATCATAATAAAACGGGCAAATTAAGTGCAAGTGAGCTGTTTGTCGGAACGTTTCTATGGCAATTGAACTTTTCCTCACCTGAATCTTCCGGTACAGGATTTTATACTCGATAGGCTCGGCGTAGCTTTCGACGCTCCAGCGAATGTTGAACATATCCTTGTCGTTGCCGTTCGGGTCTGACAGCACCTTCACCGGCTTCGGCTTGCCTACGGAAGCGAAGGGATTGACATTATATTGGGAAGTCAACAGTGTGTAATGGTAGCGCTCCATACCCCGTATTGCGTGTCCGGGAAGGGGCAACGAGCTGTAATTTAACATCAGCAGCTTCTCATTCCCCAAAAAACATCAGCATAGCATGCGCTGATCTGGATGTCGGAAGATCTCAAGACTAGGCGATTAAAATGAATCATGATAGAAATACACAAAAATGCAGGCACATGAGTCGTTTAACCCCATCTTAAGGTGTATGCTTTACAAGGTGCACAACGCCGGCGGCGTTTGTCTCACCGGTCAGGTGCACGATGCCGGTGTCTTTGCCGATGGCGTTCTCCGCCTGGCAGTTGTACACGCCGAGGTCTTCATCGCGCACGCTGGCGATGCGTACGCCGTACCGGTACCCCTCCTGGTACTGTTGGTAGTGCGGCCCGTCCAGCGGCGTACCCTTGACGCGGAACCATGACACCTGGCGGAGAGGGGATGGACGTCAGAAAAGGGATGGGTGCAGCCCTGGAGGGGAGGGGAGGGGAGGGGAGTGGTGAGAGGTCGTAGGTTAAAAATAAAAAACAAATGCATGACTCACTGTAAAAGATAGCTATCGGGAAATGCCCTCTCTATATAAAAGACGCAAAGCACGCGGCTCTCAGTCATTAGTAAACAAAGCGAACACTAAACGTCATTGTTCGCAGAGCAGACGAGCTGCTCCTAACACGGGACCGAAAGGGGTGGTCGCCGGCAGACGTCACTTATCACTCTCACTGCAGTCATCATCAGTCAGGCGACCGTTCCCGATAGTGTGACGTGTGTTTAGGTCAGCGGTGACACCACCTCTGAGCCCTGTCCTCCCTCACCCACCGGAGACTATTGTCGGAGCGGGTCGGTAACAGATCCCGTCACCCTGTGGTCA